ACAGGCGCGCACTACCACGCCCGGCTGATTTTTTGATTTATTGTAGAGATGAGGTCTCGTTGCCCAGGTGGGTCTCGAACCCGCGGGCTCAGGCAATCCACTCACCTCAGCCTCCCAAAGGCGCAGGATTACAGGCTGAGCCAATTAACTATTTTTAAGTGTCTAATTCAATAGCCTTATGTATCTTCACATTGCCATGCAGATCGCTAGAACTGCTATCTTGCAACACTGAAACTATATGAGGCATACGCCACATTTTGAATTTCAGTTGTGTGTCATCTTTCTTTTTCCCTACTCTCTTCTTTTCTCTCTTTTCTTCTCTTTCTGAATATTTTCATTACTTTACTTCCATTTCTTCTTATCTCCTTTGTCTAGTTTTTCTAGTCTCAGAATAGATTTAAGAGAAGGTAGAAATTATTGAAACAATTTTGAAGTCATAGTAGAGCCTCATATTTTAGGATTTGTAGTCATAAAAATCAAAACTGTTGAGCTTCTAGCTTTACGATGGCCCCATCTGACTCCTACTCTCAGTTCTGCTTGGGGGATCATCTCTGTGACACCCATCACAGCCACAGAACATCTTCACAGATGAATATATGGAAAATTTCCCCGTCCTTTTAGGATATGACTAATTCAAATGCTTTCCTAACTGCTACCAACTTTCTATCAGATTTTCACTATCTACAATTTTCAACTATCACAGAACTAAAGTTCCTCATTTAGAGTAGAGACTGGAGTGCCTCCTAGTGGTCCACAATCATTAAGCCAACTAGCAGAGCCCCAGAGCATTCATTTTATTTTCTCCTGAGGAACCACCACCTACAGATGATGTCAAGAACAAAAGGATTGCCAGGCTGATTGGCTTTTTTTTTTTAATTAAACTGTTTTTGTCTAAAAACTGTATTAATTAAGATTGCCATATTAAAATATTTTGTTAAACCGAACTCGGTGGCTCAGCCTGTAATCCCGCGCCTTTGGGTGGCTGAGGTGAGTGGACTGCCTGAGCCCGCAGATGGAGACCCGCCTGGGCAACTTGGCGAGACCTCATCTCTACAATAAATCAAAAATCAGCTGGGCGTGGTAGCGTGCGCCTGTAATTCCGGCTACTCGGAAGGCTGAGGTGGAAGGATCTCCGGAGCCCAGCGGGTCGAGGCTGCGGTGGCCAGGAGTGGCCACTGCACTCCAGTCTGGGAGACCGAGTGAGACTCCAACTCAAAAATAAATAAATAAATAAAATATTTTGTTAAATCGCATCTTCAAGATTGCATGCGATTCTTCCAATTTATTTCAAAATAAGTCCTTAGCAATTTATTGAAGGTCCATTGTAAGCTAGATCTTGTGCTGGGTCTTAAATTAAACATTAATAAGATATTGTCTGTACTCACAAGATATTGCTGTACAGTAGGAAAGACAAACATACATATGTCAAGTAGTCCCACACAAAGTACAAAGTGAACATGAATCAAGGAAACCTTTCTTATAACAAAGAATAGTTAGACAAGGATTTAAGGAGCACATGGTCATTTTTGTCAATTTCTTAGAAAAGATGGACTGGAATGGAATTAAGAGATTAAGTAGAGATATTATCTTGGGAGTGGAATAGAAACCTCTACTAAATGAAAATAAAAGAGGAATGGATGGACAGAGATGGAGAAGGAAAACGGAGGACAGACGTATAACAGCCTATTTTTTATTATTAACTTAACTTATTTTTAAGGAACATATGAATATATTCACAAAATATATACAGCTTAAACTCTTCTCTGACTATACTTTCCAAATGCATAGCAATTCGCAATATGACTTATGTGCTCAATTATAGGCCCTGATAATGTATTAATGTTAGCACATTTGCTTCATAATATTACATAGTGATTTATCGCAATTTCTGCAGCCAGTCTCTGAGAAACACTTTGTGTTTTTTATTTTCATTATTACCAAAAAATAAAAATGCTGCAGTAAATATTTTATGCATATCTCTCTGGCGGATGCCAGAATGAAGTGAAGAGATAGACCACGTATTATGTAGAATACTACTAGTACTCAAGGCAGAGGAATAGGCAGGAAAGTAATTGGCATGTTAGGGCAGCAGTAAGTGCAGTGAGGCTGGAGAGAGTAAGCAGGCAGAAAGGCAGTGGCTGATGTCAAATGCCAAAGGTGCAGCAGGGAGCTAGATGGACTTGCATAATGCAGTTAAGAATTTGGTTTTCATTTGCATGAGATGGCAAGACATTAGAGAGTTGTGAGCATAGAAATGAAATTATCTGAATTAAGCGTTTAAAAGATTAGTCTGTCTACTATGTGGAGAACAGACTGAAGAGGGACAGAGGAGATCAGTTAAGTTTATTGCAGGCAGGTGGTGATTGTAGTTTGGATCAGAGTCATCGGGAGAGGTCATGAGAATTGGTTGATTATAGGCATGTTTTGAAGAAATGGCTGATAGAACTTTCTAATGGGTCAAGTGAGGATATGAGAAAGGTGAGAGGACAAGGACAATTTCAAAGTTTTTGGTCAAGGGGATCAGAAGAACTAGTAAATGGTGTTGCCTTGAACCTAAATAAGGAAAAGTTAACAAGAAGCAGATATAATATAAGAAAGGCTCAGTTGGAGGGAGGGAGGTGGAACTCAGTAGATCATTTTCAGATATATTAAGTGGAGAATGGCAAAAAGGAGATATCAAATAGATCATTTGATATATGAGATCAGAAATCAGAAGAGCCATCTGGGCTTCAGTTATAATTTTGGGTATTTGAATAGTATTTAAAGCCAAGAGACTTGAATGAAACCACCTGGGAATAAAATATTGATAGATTTTTTAAAAAAAGTTTCAGGAGAAATCTCTGAGATATGCCAATGATTAGAAATCAGAAGATGAGCATTAAAAAACACTAAAGGAGATTGAAAGGAACAATAAATGATCCTGAAGGGGAATAAAGAGGGAGTAGGGTCTCTAACTCTAATAAAGGAAGTTTTTAGAGAAGAAAGAGTTCTACAATGTCCAATGTTGTCACTATGCCAAGTACAGTAAGTTAAAAATACTAGCTGTAGCAAAAAATGCAGTAATAAATGCTAAATTTTACAATAAATGTAGTTTTTCCTTTTAAAATATAGAAATAATCCGAGTGGTTTTCCTATCCAGTTCTTAAGAGACTGCTTAAGAGACACCACTAAATGGAATAACATGACAAGAAAAGTTAAAATTGTATGACTGGGCCTGCTGGCACTCGGCCCGCACCACATTCAACAAGATGCCCAAGATGCCCAAGAAAGAGGTCAATTCTGGTGACAGGCGAGAAAAGGAGAAGCCCATCAGGAGAAGAGTAAGAATCCTGCCCCTGGGAGGAATAACACCAGCAAGATGGCAGAATGAGAAACCCTGAACTCCCCTTTCCCCAATGGACACACCAATTTGACAACAACAAACAGATCAATTCCCTTTGTGAGAAACCCAATAATAGTTAGGAGGCCCCAGCACCCCAAATTAGTGAGAAGCCAGTCACATCAAAGATGGCAGGAAAATTTGTGACATCCTCTCACCATATTTCCAACCTCTAGCACAGTGTCGTATTAGTGAGAAAAAACTCCCAACTTCAGCCTCTCCCTGGTGAGGACAGAGACGGACAGGACATCCAACATTCCAACTTTTTCAGAGCCTGCCTGAGAGACTGTCTTCTGTCTTGCCGGTCAAGGAAAGCTGATAGGACTCAGGATATTCATGATGTGTAGGTGCCACTGAGAACAAAGAGGGCAGTTTGAAGTATCATACAAGCCCTCACCATAGTCCCTCCCCCAACTCAGTACAGATCCCCAACGGGTAAAAGATTCCAGCTCCCAGCTTCTCCCTAGGGAGGGAAAAAGTTGAACCAAATGTCCAATGATCCAGCTTTCCTGGTGGTTTCTCTCTCACCTGTCTTAGAATACCAATGGGACCAACATATTCTTGATGCCTGGGGGCCACTAACAACTATTGTGGTTTGAACTAGCACAAAGGTTTGAGAAGCCCCCAAAATCTCTGGCCAGAATGAATGGTGAGGTTCTTCTGTGTATGAAGTCGGTATACACAGAATATACAGTCTTCCTACATACACAGAGTAGCCTTCAGGGTAGATCACATTTCGGCCACAAAAAAGCAAAACAAGTTTAAGGAAGTAAAATCATACCAGGTATCTTTTTCAACCAAAATGGAATAGAACTGGAAAATTGACAAATATATGGGAAGTAAACACCACAGTCTTGAATAAAAAATTGGTCAAAGAATAAATCAAAAGGAAAATTAGAAAATGACTTAAGACATAAAAACAACAAAAGCAAAAGTAGATCATCAGACAATATAAAATATTCCACACAGCAAAGAAAATAATCAACAAATAAAAAGACAACCCATTCCATAGAATGCAAGAGAATATTTGCAAAGCATATGTGTGATAAGGGGTTAATCTTCAAAATACGTAAGGGACTCCTATAATTCAATATCAAATCATCATCATCTGATTTAAAAATTGAAAAAAGAGCTGGGCTAGGTGACTCAGCCTGTAATCCTGCGCCTTTGGGAGGCTCAGGTGAGTGGCTTGCCTGAGCCCACGGGTTCGAGACCCACCTGGGCAGCGAGACCTCATCTCTACAATAAATAAATTTAAAAAATCAGCCGGGCGTGGTAGTGCATGCCTGTAATTCCGGCTACTTGGAAGGCTGAGGCAGAAGGATCACCAGAGCCCAGCAGGTCGAGGCTGTGGTGGCTGGAAGCGACCACTGCACTCCAGTCTGAGTGACAGAATGAGACTCCAACTCAAAAAAAAAAAAAAAAAAGAAAGAAAAGAAAAAGAAATCGAATAGAAAAGCATGTATACATACAATGAGGTAAAACACAGTTTTCAAAAAGCTGTTATTTCAATTATGTGTATATGTAATTCTAGTCTACATAAGAATTACCTGGGCATTTGATAAAAATCCAGATTACTGGATTTCAATCCAAAATTCTGGCTGAAGGTCTAGAGAGGAATTCAAGAATCTAAATTTTAACAAATGTCCCTTGAACTCTGATACTGGTAAACTATGGACTTGGCATTGAGAAACACTGGAGTGGATGCCCTTGGGGAACAGGTGCTCACAGGTAAGGGACCAGCTTAAGATGATCTGAGGTTTCCTCTGTGCTGGGCACCAAGTGATTTTCTTATTTATTTATTTATTTTTGAGTTGGAGTCTCACTGTCACCCAGACTGGAGTGCAGT